TTCCGCCCCAGCCGGCGGCTGGCCAGCGTGGTGGCGACCGTGCCGGAGCTGTGCCACCGGCACCGGCGACCCCTCACTCCTTTCTGTTACGGCGATGGAGTCCTCGTCTGCACAGCCTGCCTCTCGAGGAGGCCGCTCGCTGGTACAGGGTGAGCGGATCCCCGTCTCAGACACTCTCCCCCTGCCTGGGCGACGCTAATTGCCCTTAAAACTCAGCCCCCAGAATATGTATTTTGAGCAGGGGGAAAGCATTTCCCTATCTTTCTAGGGACAAAAACCCCCCAGCAAACCAAGATAAGCATCTAGAAGCCAAAACTGAGGTGAAATGCTGCAATTTGGTGATAGTTAAGTATGAAACAGTACAGTGGTGGCAGTTTTGGGACCAAAACTAAATACTGGTTTTTGGAGATTGCAAACTCCCGCTCTCACACAGCACCTACACTGTGAAGAGTTCCTATTCTGCTTCCGGGTGTGGAGGGGAAATGAGGGTCCCAAAATGGGCTTTGGACCTGGCTGGGGGTGCAGGGAGTAGGGGGAAGGGGATGGAAACTGAAGGGTGGTGGGAGCTTCTTAAGGTCTGGTGGCAACTTTTTTACAGGAGACCTTGGAGAGATGGGCTATCCCAGCCTGGATATCCCAGTGTCCACTTGTTACTGTGTGTTTACATAAATGTTCAGATAAGGTGAGAGTGTGCATGCAGCATAGCTGGAGTTCACCAAAACATGGATATGCATGTACATACCTACTTCAGTGCAGCTGCAGAGGGTGAGTATGGGGCCATCTGTACTGGATATACCCCTGATGCTTTAGGAGTCCCAGCCCCCATCTCCTTTTCTTCCCTTCTCCAGGAGTATAAATGCCTTTCCTCTGCAGAAGCAGTTTGAAATTTCCCTAAAAACCCTGCAAGAGGAGGACAAGAGATGTGCTGGGCTGACTGAGGCAGCAAAGGACACGAGACTGGAGATGCTGGTGGGTGGTGCTGCCATCCGGGTGCACCACAGGGCCAAACTGCTTCATTCCCCCTCCAGCATCCTTCTCCTTCTCCTTCATCCCCCAGACTCGAGTTAGTGCTGAGAAGCAGAAGCTGCAGGCGATGCTGAAAGGGCTCTGCCTGGTGCCGAGTGACCAGGAATCACTGTTCCTTTCCTGGTTCCATCGCCTGAGATGGAGGTTGGAGGAACAGCAACGTGATAAAGCTGTTGAGATGTCATGGATCCAGCAAAGCCGTGCAGAGCTCCAGGCCAAGTGCCAACAACCAGATGGTGACCTGCTGTGGGTGAGCAAAAACTTTCCCCCAGCATCTGTTTCCCTCCTACTGGCTTTTATTCACAGGAAAGCAGCCCTAAACACCTTTCTCCCTTTCTCTCCAGAATGTCCAAACAACCTTGAGCAGGTGTTGGAGCCAAAAAGCATCACCAGGAACACCAGTTTTGGTCCCAAATCCTCCATTTTTCCAATCATCTTCTCACCCTGTGTTCTTTTCCTCTGGGATTTTTGCTTTGGAGCTGGATGGGGTTGAAGGTTAACCCAAACTTGGTGATGGTGGGGGAATCTTCCATCGTATCTTGCAGGAGTGGGAGCCTCGCCTAGGGAAGTAGAGATGTCTCAGTGGTTTTCTAGGAATGGGGAAAGGAAATTTGGGCATTTTTTGGCATTAAGCACCCCAATTCGCTCTCCTTGAGGTGCACGGGGAGGAAAGTGAAGCCATCACTGTTCTGTTGATGTCAGAACTGGAAACAGAGGACTTGAGGACTTCACTCGAAAAACCAACACGCTGACAGAGGCAGTGACACAATTCAAAGGTGCTTGGAGGGTAAAAATTGGCAAAAAAGGGGAATTTGTTAAGCAGAAATAGGAAACTGGGGTGGTTCTGGGAGGGTACAGAACTCCAGGGTTGGCAGATTTAGCTGGAAAGTGGAAGCATCACAAATGCTTGTTTAATTAAAAGAAAATAGAGGATTTATTCCTGATTAGCCTTAAGGGATAGAAAACTGAAGGTGGGAGGTGCAGAATGCTGTTGATGGTTAATTAGCATCCAAATTAGGACAGTAATTATGTGTGGAGGATGGTGATGCCCCAGATGAAGGGGGTTGTGTCTCCCACCTCAGGGGGTCTTGCCTTCTCCATGCAACAGGGTTTGGGTGGATGTGGGGAAGGGCCAGGTATCCAGAGGTAAAAATCTCTGGGGTCATCTTCTATTTCCAGACGTGTTGGAGTGCTCTCTGGAGGAAGACTCAGAGGGATCCCTGAGTGTGGGAAATGCAGGCACAGAAAGCTCTCAAGGCCTTGAGCATACAGGCTCAGAAATAGAGATGGACACAATGTTTGACCTGAGACCTTGGAGAAGGCTTGGCACTTTAGCACAATAACGTGAAACAGACATGAAGCAAGGATAGAAGTTTGTAGTTTAAGCAGAGTTATGTTTTAAGCAAACAGAAATATGCCTCATGGAAGGGAATAAATATGTTAACTAAGACAGTAGAAAATTTTAAAGTTTAGCAATAGAACTTGTCACAAAGTAGAAATGAAAGATGTAGTAATGTATGTTTCTGTAGTGTTATATGACTGGATGAAAAAAGACACATTGTGGTAGAATTGTGTAAGACAAAGCAATTAATGATTGATTTATGAAGATGCTAGTGAGCTTTGTAAAAATTGTTGATTGGCTAAGAAATTTATAAAGGACATTGTAACTATAATGAATACAGATGCTGCTGCTGCTGCTGACATTTGATGTAACAGCCTTACTGTCTCACCCTTCCATGAGACTGATTTTGCAATTAAACACCTCTTACAACGTCTCTCAGTTGATCCCATCTTCTCTGTATCTCAATACTGGAGAGGTGAGGCCGGCTTCAGGGACTTCCTGAACACACATATGGGTTCAGTGCCTGGAGCTGATGCTCTGGTGCAATTTTTGGAGGTGATATTCCAATGAACAGAGCCTCATGAAGATCCCTCTCCCTGCCAGCAATCATGACTTTGGATCCAGCCGCAGCTCACCCCCAGATCCTGGTGTCATCAGATGGCTGGACTGCAGGCTGCTGGGAATCACCCCAAGCTCCTCTGCCCTTAGGAATTGAGCCTTTTGAGTCTCTCCACTGTGTTTTGGGTTGGCAGGGCTTTGTGGGGGGCATTGCTGGGCTGTGAAGGTTTGTCCTGGTCCCGAATGGGCACTGGGAGGTGCTCAGGAATTTGCATCCTGTAAGGCCTGCTTCGGTCTCAGCCCCGAACGTGGGGTTTAGGCCGTGGGGCAGTGGTTGGGGCAGTGCAGGCTCTCACCTGACCCAGCCCCACATCTCTGCCCCACTGCTGCACTCTGTGACACATCAAGGTGGCTCTGGACTATGCCAGTGGGCAGGTGGCTTTCCATGATGCCGATAGCTAGACTGAAATTTTTTTCCACAGCCGCTTTTCAGGTGAATGACTCTGGCCACTGCCCTGGCTGGGTAAGGGGCCAGCTATGCTCACCCTCTGTCCCTGAGTCCCCCCAAAATCCACCATGAACCTCCCAAGTGCAGACACTTCTACCACGCCAACAAACACTCCACTCAACAACAAACAGCCCCACTCCCCCTGTGGCCCCATTTAATTTTCCTTACAACATCTAATTTAACAATCAAATTTCATTCTTTTGCTTCTCAATAGGAGAACAGAGGTATTTTTAATTCCTCAGCTGTTTGTCAGTGCAAGCATGGACAAGAAAAACAAGGAGAATGTCCCTAAAAGATTTTCAAAAACTCACCTTGAGGAAGAAAATGGGCTTTGCTACTGCTGCTAGATGTCTCATAATAAAGTTTTGCAAGTGGAAACTTTTCTGCTTAGGATTTGTAGAGAATTTAGGGGAAGTGGGCTAAAACCACATTTCAATGTCTCCCAGGTTCACTCAGACTGGGGTCTTTTTGGGGTTTTGTATTCACCTGCCAGGATGTAAGCAGGGAGAGAGGCACAGACAGGATTTCATCCCCCATTTCACTGCCTACAAGTGAATAGAAGGGAAAAAAACCCAAGTGAACTAGTATCTCGAAGCAGCAGAAAATTGTTATGAGGGTTTGACCATGTAATAGAGTGCTCTTATCAGCAAGCACAGGCAAGAGTAGGCAGGTCTTTGCCTCTTGCAGTCCCAGTCACTCCTTTGCTGCCAGACTTTCCTCCCCATCCACATGCACTCTTCACATTGGTCTGAGGAAGAGGAGAAACTACCAGGAAAGGCAGCAACTTTTGTCTTTGGGACCCTAATTTTAAACAAGGACCCTGACAAAACAGGGGCACAGCTAAACCCACATTACAGCCCTGCTCAGTTGTACAATTAATTGTTTCCTTGTTTGGCTCATGATAAGGTTGGTCTTTCCTAACTCAGTAGCCCCACAGCTGGCTCTCCAGCATTGGGGTGTGGAGTAAATCAGCCTCTTTCTGCTCAAGGGCAGCTCAACAGCATCCTATCAGCAGCTGGGAGAACAGATGGTTGGGTGTGGAGGATGCACAGCTCCCACTCCTTGAGCAGAGCCAACAGATGCAGCCCTCCTACCTGTGGACCTCAAAACCCTCCTGAGTGACAGGCACACCTCATACCACCCCATGGAAGAGGCTGTGTGGAGTAGCTGAAAGAGTTTTTTTTCCACAAGAGTCAAAGATTTTTCCACAAAGCTGGAGCCCAGGGTGCATTTTGTGGGGGTTTGTGGCTTGAGGATGAGCATTCCCAGGGGGTAGTTTTAGCCACTGCCTCCTGCTTCTCCCCCCATGCTGTTCCTCTTCCACTAACACCTCGGGATCAGACTGAGTGGGAACTGTGCATCCAAGGGAAGAGCAGCAGTCATGGAGGGGCAAGCCTGAGTCAGGACTGCAGGCCCTCCACGATGGTGCGGGTATTAAACCTCTCCTGTTCCTCATTGAGGTCCACTGCAAGTGAAAAGAGGTGGATTTTGGGGATGGGTTTATCCCCATAGTGAAGGGTAATAATTTGTTGGTGTTGGTGGGTGCTTATAAAGATGGAGCTTAAAAGGTACTTTTTTAAATCAGCAGTGTGTTATATCCAGAAGACAGAAAATACAGCTGCAGTACAAACCAGGGTGGGGTGTGTGTTTTTAATCCTCTGGTTTTGGGTATGTTCGCTCCATTTTGGGCCTTCTCCCCAGGGGAGCAGCTATCACAGTGGGAAATGGGGATTTTCCACCTGAAAACAGTGCCCACAGGGAAGAAATCCCCAGATTAGGGAGGAACTTATTAAAGAAATGGTGGCCTCTGCACTGCTGCCCTGAGGAGAAAGTGCTGATGAACTACCAACACCGTTTTTTTTAGAGAAGGCTATCCCCCTTTTAGGTGAGAATAAGATTTGTTGTTTTCAGCACTAGCAGTGGATGTGGGGAAGAAACAGCTCCAAAAATATCCCTAAATCCTACCAGAATTAACCCATATCCCAACTGGGGGGAAGGGGGAAGGTGGGGGGGAGTGTGTGTAAATTTTTTCAGGTGTCATCAGTTTGCCCAGTTGCCCCCTCCAGGGGCCTGTTCATCTCTTCTTACCCAGTTTATTTGGATAAAATGTCACAATTTCATTTAATTTTTTTTCCATTTTATGATTTCTCCTGCTCTGACAAGAGGCTTTTTCTCCCCAAAAATGAAGCCAAGCAGGATGTTTCTCCTGCCAAGCCCTTCATTGCCCAAAATCCTCTCCAAAAATCTGCAGGGTTTATTTAACCTCAAAGGGCCTTTTTTAACATAGGATGAAGCACTATAGTGCAGTACAGGGCCTTAGCAGCATGAATAGAGCGATAGCTGAGTTGAGCAAAAGAGATTGGAATTTTGTATAATTTTTAGTTTTTGCCTTTTATCCTCTTAAATAGAATAACTCTGTATAGACCCATGCTTTAGACCTGAAATTTCCCACATGGAGGAATTCCCCCCTGGAGCTATGGTGAGCCAGCTGTACTTTGCTGCTCACCTGAATCCTCTGCACGAAAACTCACTATGAACTGAACTTTGTCTTTAAATAAACTGGTTAAGTTTAGCAATTTATTGTGTCACTCATAAGCTGGCACTGGTGTATTAAACAAGGTGTTTTTGAGCCACACTGCAGTGCTGCGGCAGGTGGGACCCTCCAGGGGATGGGACAGCCAGAGATAAGGGTATTCAGAGAGAAATTGCTCTATGAAAACAGACACATCTAGGATGGGGGTTTGAGGACTTAGGGGGAAAGGGACCTCTGAGGCTGGCTGGGGACCCAGGGAGGTCAGGGACCTCTAAGGCATGCAGATGACATGCAGTGTTGCAGGTCAGGGGTGGGTGACATACCCATCTTGAGGTGTGCCCATCCCCAGTTCCAGCACGTTTGCGGGGTCAGGGCCAGGGTTCACCACTCTCATGTCTCTATCCTCAACAGTCAGCCCAGGGGAAGAATGAGCTTCTTTATACTTGCACTTTTGTTTGACCAGCAGTTATTGATGTGACTGGCCATAAAATAATGGTGCCAAGAAGCAGGAGGACACTGACAGTTTTAAGCAGGTCCAAGCCCACTGTAAAGACCTGATTAAAGCTGTAAATGCAGTGTTCTGGGAGGTCAGCAAGGAGCACTCTGGCTCACAGGACAAAAGGAGGTGTTCCAGCTCACTCCTCACCTAGCAGGTAAATCATGGACCCCATGGGGGCCACAGGACCAGATCTTATCCTGCTCCCACATCTTCTCTCCAGCTTCTGCTGTAGCCTCCCACCTCTGTAGCTCCTGGCCACATTTCCAGCCAGCCTCACATCCACCAATGCACCCCTCTTAGGGATCTATGATCTTGCCAGCAAAGGCCAGGGAGCCTGCCCCCACGTTCCCATGCTTACAGATGCTGCACTAGCCTTTACACAGAGCTAGTGGATGAGTTCCAGCAAGTCTGTCCTCCCTCCTGGAGGTGCCCTGTAGCCAGCCAGTACATGAGGAGGAGATGTCATCCCATGCAGAGCCCCTGGCTCCTCAGGGCTCATGTTAAATTTTGAATAGGTTTTGATGACTAACATTTTGGTTGATAAAAATTCAGTAAATGTTGTTAATAAAGTTTTCTGAGGAGTTCTGGAGTCAATGGGTTTAAATGAAATTGGGGAATAACAACACTGCTACAAAACCAGCTGCATCTGATACAGGAGGAGCCAGACAAAGAACCAGAACGGTGCTAGAAATGCTGCTGCCTGCAAATGTCCCAGCAGTGACGAGGAGTCTGGAGTTCTGGAGTAAATATCCAGTGTCCTCCAAAAGCAGATACTGGACCTGACAGATGGTCTTGGAACCAGCCCCAGCACCTGGCACCAGACATCCAGCCATGGGTTCTCAGGCACTTCAAATCCCAAGCTATCTTCACCCCTCAACATCCTGACCCCCTGCAGCCAGGGTGAGATGTCTCCAACCTTCTCCAGCACCTTCAGCTCCCCAGCACCCCTCTTCATGGCCGCCAGCATGCCATCCTGATGGTGTGTTGGGGTGGATGGTACCTGCAATGGTGACTGCCTGGATCAAAGCCCAGGGACACCTGATTAGCACCACTTGGAAAAAGATGCACTGCGGGGCACCTTTTGGTTCCTGAAGACCCATCATCCATCCACCATCACCCAGTGCTCACTAGGCAGGGTGGTCATTAGCACGCAGGGCTGTGAGGAGAGAGGCATGGCCCCTGTCCCCTGTGGGTGTCCATAGCTGAGCCTGCTGGATGCTGAGTACCATGGGCCTAGTGGGACCGTCAGGATCCTGTGCACCCAAACACCCACCCCTGACCTGCATGTACCCTGACACCTGGTATTTCCCAGACTCTGAAAACAGCCCCAGAGGTCCCTGTCCCCACAAGCCGTCTCCAAACTCCTATGGTTGTCCCCAACCTTCTAAAATCCCCGATGCCCTTAACATCCCTGTCCCCACAGATCAATCCCCTTTAATGTCCCCACCTCCGGCAGTCCCTATCTCCCTGGAGGGTCCCACCTGGGACCAGCACCCCAGGGTGAGGTTGGTGCTTCCCTACAGGGCTGGGGAATGTGAAGCAGGTGAGGGTGATGTCACTGTGTACCTTGAGGGCCTCAACCTTTGGAAAGACAGGTGGTGTTGGAACTGCACTTGCTGCATGGTCACTGTCACTTACGGGTACCTACAGGACACCACTGTCACCTAATGGACACCAGGGACAGTGGTGGATGGAAGGTGAGGACAGCAGTGACAATGGCATCACTGCTGCACACTCCAAAGGGAGCTGAGCATCCCCTGCAAGGCTCCCATAGGTTTGCTATGTTCCCAGGGCCTGATGATGATGCTTTTAAATTATATTAAACCCCGCCCTGAGCCTGATGTGGGAGAGGGAGCAATGCTGCTCTGGCTCACCTCGAGCTCCCTGAAGATGCATGGTGCTGCTGCAGCCTTGCCATAGAGCAGTTCAGTTCAGGGGTGCCAGCAGCATGGGTGGGGACTACCCAGGGATTACACCTCTTGCACCTCCACAGCCCATGGGTTAGGGGCAACCCTGCCCCCTTCACCTGGCTCCGGGAACCCCCCACCTACCCACATGACCAGTCTGGGGGCTCACCCCAAGCTCTCCTGTACCTCTCCCCACCAAAACTTCACCCTTCCCTGTGGCACTTGTCCAGCTCTAGGGTGGCATCTCTGAAGCAGGGGCTTAGTTTTGAAATCAGTCTTGCTTGAAATATCCCAAACACAGCGGGTTAATTTTTTTATTAACTTGAAAAGAAATCCCTTTGGGTAGCTGTCCCAGTCTTTTCTTCCTGGGCTTTGAGCATCCAGTCCCAGACAGCTGCCTGGCTACTGGCTCCATCCAGGGGGACTGGATTTGCAGCAAATGCTGCAGTGCCCAAGATCAGTGGTTGAGGTCTGAGACTGGCTGGTGCTCTGCTAAGGTGGTGGGGCCTGGGGGTGAAGGACAGAGATAAGCACCCTGACTCCCAGGGGCAACTGCATGGCCAGAGACTCTCAGGGACCAGGTACTGGCCCCTTTCCTCCAATATATGGGCTGTTTTCCTACATTGGCCTTGGCCATCTCCACGCTCCACTCCATCTTGAACACACTCAAGGACCAGTTGTCCCATCCACCAGCCACCCCGCTCTATCCTGCTTCCACCCCTCCTCACCTGCCCCAGATCCCAGACCCCAGACCTTTCCTGCACCTGCCCAGGTGTGCAGGCAGAGCCCTGCTCACCCATCACCAGCAAACAGCTGGTGCTCCCTCGCCCCACCACGGCTGTCCTGACAGACCATACCCAGCTAATCCTTGGCCTTCTTTGCCACCTCAGGCCTGTGCTCCTGGCCCAAATCCATGCGGTCATCTGTGCCCAGCAGCTCAGTCAGGCCAGGCTAGGAAGAAGAGAATGGCTGGCTGCCATGTGGGGCCAAATTCAGCATCCCCAAGCAACCCTCCTCACCCATCTCTCATTGAGGAAACCGAGGCACGGGTCCCTCCAGATGCTCAGCATCTCTCTCCCAGCCTCATTCCTCCCCGATGTTCTTCCCTTGACCATCCCTACCTTTTTGGAGAGGTGTAGGACATCCTTGACCGGTGCACTGGATATGTCATGACCCCTGCAGCTCTGCGACTTGTGGAACTTGCTAGTGACCAGCTTCCTGAGGGATGGGGCATGGAGATACTCATTGTCCAGAACTGTAGTGACCTGGGCTTCATCCTGCTGTACCAGGGAGTGGGGCAGAGGGTGCTCCCTACTGACACATGTCCCTGCTGACTCCCCTACAACTGCTACAGGAAACCCATGCCTGTCCCACTCTGCTGAATCCCCACCAATCCTAAGGTCTGGCTGAGACCAGATACAGCTGACAATGTGTGACTTCAGTGCTGCTGAGACCAAGGGCTGATGGAGCAGTGCAGTAGGGGCTTTAAAAGCCTAGAGACCTGGGGCAAGTACAGCTGGCCTCCTCTGCTCCCCTGCCCTACCCAGGCCCCCTGATCCACTCTGTCCACATTCAGAGAAGAGATCTCCTTTGCCAAGGCAGGACTATCCAGCATCCCAGAGGCCAGTGATGGGTCCCTATGTCCCCTACCTGTGACCATGGTGTTGTGCTTGCTCCTCTGCGGTGATGGTAGCAGAGCGTACAGCATGGCTGCTGGGCATCGATGGGCAGAGTGGCAGTGTGTCAATGTGCCTGGGAGGGGCAGGAGCCGTGGGTGGGTGACAAGGAACAAACAAGCCACCCCAATTTGGGGCAGAACACCAAAACCCACAGCATCCCTCTGCTTGCTGCCCTCAGGGAGGTGTTCCTGGAGGGATTCCCACTCCACATCTGAAAGACATGGCTTCAGAGGGGGGTCAGCAGAGTCAGACCCTCCAGACAAACACTCTGACCCCTGTGCCTGAGACAGCAGGGCACCACTAGCACCCATCCCCCTCACCCCACCCCACCCCCACAGCCCCCTGATATACCGGTGCCAGGTGCTACTCACAGGCCAGGCACCTGCACGTTGAGCTGCCGGTCGCAGGACAGGCACTTGTACGGGACCAGCAGCTGCCTGAGGGAGAAAGGGCTGGGTGAGCGCCTGACAGGGCTCTAGTGCACACAGCCAGCAGCTCACAGGCAGCAGCAGATGTCAGGCATGTCGCTGCTGCAAGGAGCCTCAATGTTTGCAGAGGGAACTGTGGCATGTTGAGCCTGGTTTTCCTCCCATCCAAGGGGACAAGGAGACGAGCTTGCCTTGGCAGCACTGGCACTGCTGAATTGTGGCTGTGGCCCATGGCTGCTCAGAGCAGTCAGGGATTTGAGGGGAAAGGTGCAGGCACCCACACATCCAAAAAAGTCCTTCCCCTGGTGTCATTGCCTTGTCTGTGCTCACAAATCCCCTGTGCCTTGCTAAGGAGGACAGGTCATGACTGAGGCCAGTGGAACCATGTGTTGCAGCCCAGTTCCCAGGGGAATGTCTTCCATCCTTGAACCTCTGCATCCACATCCCAGTTCTGGATGGCTGCCCATTCTTGTGCCTCCTTTAGTGTGGGGAACCTAGTACTGATGGGTGAAGAAGGTGTAGCTGCTTTGTCAGCATCCCTGCAGTTTGTTGGCTACATTGCTCCAATGCCAGGGTACCATCCAGGAAGGAATGAGGACAGTGCTGTTGCCAAAGGCAATACCATCCCATTGCACTCACTGCTTAATTCCAGCAGCGTCGTCAATCTCTACTGACAACTCGTCCTTGAGATCCTTGATGATCCTTGCCCAGTTTTCCTCCAGCTGCTTCTGGAAAGGTCCCAGCTCCAGGCGATCCAGCTGTGGACAGATGCACACCTGCTCCAGAATGGAACATGGTAATCCCCAGGGAAAAGCCAGCAGAGGGGGAAACCTCAGAGAGATGCTGCCTCAGGCTGCAAAGCCCACAAGTAGCCAGTTTCATACCGTGAGGATAAGGCACACCTCACCTTGGAGTCCAGGGCATCACTGAACCGCTGCTGGGCCTCCTGCCAGCGCTGCTCCTGGCCTAACACCCGTCTCAGCAGCTCTCGCATCCTCTCCTCCAGATGCTCCATGCTTGCATCAAAATGGGCGCAACTGACTTTGCTGCCCAGGGCAGCTTTGTCCACTTTCTAGCAGGACAAAATGCAGCAGAGCGGTGGGGACAAGGCAGAGGTACGAGAGGCAGGGCCAGCACGTATTGGGGACAGGGGTAGAATTGTTCCTACAGGGCCATTGTGCCCTTGTCAGGGCTGTGTGGCCTGCTAACCCCATCACCCCAATGGGGTCAAAGGGATTTAAAGAGGGAGATAGACGGATCTGGCAAGGGATCTGCAGCCAGTCTTGAAGTACTCACACCCTCCCCCTTCCACATCCAGGCCAGTTTTGTCACTAAGCACCCAAAGGGCAAAGGGCATTTGTCACCCTGCCCAAGATCCCTAAGATTCCTTGGCCTGAAGATGGACCTCTCAAGACCATACCAGCAGCATCAGGTCCTCCTTGTCTGCTTTCTTCTCGAGACCCTCCAGGGACCGGAACAGAGCCTTCCAATACAGAAAGCATCTCATGACACCACAGCAGGGTCAGAGCTGTGCTCCAGCCAGCCATTGTTCCCTGCTCTTTGGGAAAGGGCCTATGAACCAACAGAGGGCTACGAGCAGGTGGGCAGGGGATCAGACCTCTGGCAGTCTCCAGCTCCAGTGTGCATGGCAGACACTCTGACCCTGTGGGGGGTCAGCCACCAACCTCAATATCTTTCTGATGCTGGCGATGGTCATCCCGGAGGCTCCCCGTGACATAGCTGAGCTGCTCGCAGTCCCCTTCCACCCGCACAACGGTGGCCTGAATGCTCTTTAGCAGTTCATCATCCTGTTCCAGGGAGAGATGACAAGATGGTGTCATGCAAGGGGTGTCTGGCTGCCCTCAGGGACAGATCTGGGTTACTTGGCCATCAGCCATGAGCCCTCAGTGCTAGCCAGACATTCCTACCAAGGCTTTAATTTCCTGCCATACTGCCAACCCATCCAAACCAAATCGGGGCTAGCAAGGGGCAGCTGTACATTCCAGTGAGCACAACCAGACATAAGGTCCTGACACAGTGTCCCAAGACCCCACGTTGCCAGCTGCCCACCTGGGTATTCTGTGGCAGTGACCTCAGCACCTGCTGTGGCACCATGGAGTCCACCTGCTCCTGAAGCCTTTCACAGCGGTGTAGGAGCTTCCTCACAAGCTTGGTCTCCGCGCTGTGTTCAGGACACACTGCCTGTGACTCTCCCAGCTGCTTCCCTGCACTCCCCATCGTGGCCCTCAGCTGTTTCAGCTGCAGAAAGGGAGGAAGGAATTGATTTTGAGATAGAATGGATGCAGCCAGAAGAACCTGGTGACCAGATGGCCCTGATCAGGCAGGGAATGTGGCCAGGAACCCCACAAGGAGCAGCCTGCCATTCAGGACAACAGCTGGAGTGCTGCTTCCAAACCTCACCCGCTCCTGAAGCTGGTCAACTGTGACCAGCTGCATCAGTGTGGCCTTGGCAATCTTCTGCTCCTCTCTCAGCTCCTTCTGCTCCTGCTTAATCTCCTGCAGTGCAGACCTAGACAACAAGATGGGGGTACAGGCAAGCTGAGCCTCCACAAGGCCACTCAGGAAGTGAGCTTTGCTCCCCAAATCCAGTGCTCCTGGATTTCCAACCCCCATACCTCCCAGATTCCCTGCAACCCCGTAGGATACAAAATCCTCTCCCCATCCTCTTACTCCAGCTGTACAGGGATCTGGCTGGTGCCATCCACTTTGCACTCGGCTGCAGTCACACCCAGATTTCCAAAAGCAGCCTCCAGTTGTCTGATCTGGGAGGAGTGGAAGTGGCAGAGTCAGGGCATGGACCCCATGCTCTCCTTTGCCTGCCTCCTCCTTGCCAACTCCTCCTGGCATCCTTGCAATGGGATTGCTATGGGCTCACCTTCTCCTTCTCATCCTGCAGGTCTTTGGCCAGGTGCTGCAGGGAGGACATCTGGTGCTGGAGCTCAGACAGGTCTCTAGTGATGCTCTCCATAGCTGGATGACCTGCTTGGGAACAAGGCTGTGTCCCAGTGGTGCCACTTTGGGCACTGGGGATCCCTGTCTGCATCCCAGGTGTGGTGCTCTGGGTACCCAGCTTGCCCATGTCCGAAGTGTGGGGCTTGGCAGGAGCAGGCTGGCCGTGGAGGAGGCTGGCAGCATCCTGGAGTGGGATGAGAAGATGGACTGCAGTCAGGACCTGGGAGCATCCACAACTGAGCTTGGGCCCGAGCCAGAGACCCTGGATGGGCCGTGGCTGCCAAACACTGGTAAATCTTTATCTTCTTTCCTTCTTGGCACCCATTTTCCCTTTTTTCAGGGCTGTTTAGTTCAAAGTGCCTCAGTATCTCTTTGCCTGAGGCAGGGAGTGACCTCTACTACCAGACTGATCTTCAGTCAGAGGTAGGGGCCTCTGAAGTGGGTAAGGCTGAGTTCCCATGCTTCCCTCACAGGACACCCTTCCCACTCTTCCCTCCGAGTGCCCTTCACACTGGGTTACACCCACGGTAACAGGGCAGGGGCAGCAGAGCAACATCTTGAGGGGCAGGAAGGGCCCAGTTCCCTCTCAAAGGCAGCAGCTCACCTGGCCAAGTGCCTCCTGGATCATCCGGATGCTTTCTCCCATGCGGGACTGTGTGGCCTTCATCTCATTGATCTCCTTATGGAGATCCTTGCAGAGATCTGTGGTCTAGGAGAGGGGGGTGGGGGGAAATGCACCTCAGGGCAGGCTCCCTGGGAACCTGGAGGATCTTTGCTGCACCACATCTGTGGGGCACAGCCAGATGCTGGGCACTGTGGGTGGCACTCTCCATTCATCTGGCACGGCCAGATGCAGCTGAACCTCTGGTGCACAGAGGTCACTGGCACAGTCTCTTACAGTCTCAGACCTGTAACATGCTGGTGGTGGCAGCTCACCTGGTCAAGTGCCTCCTTGATCCTCTGGATTTCCTCTTCCATGTTGGACTTAGCCATCTCCGTGTGGGGCTCCTGGGAGAGACGGGTGGTGGGCGTGAGCCCCAAGCAAGCAACTCCCCATTGACTCCCACCCCTGTCCCGGGGAGCAATGGCACACTCTGGGTCAGCAGGAAAAGACCCAACATGGGAAGCATCCAGAGAAGTGCTTCAGCCCCAGATTTTCTCCCCAGATCTCCCTCCCTTTCCTACTATGAAAGTCAACATGCTGCTCCGAGCTTGGGCTTCAACCAAACCTTGGTATAAGGGCAGAGACCCCAGAGGAAGGGGCGTCTTGGGGGGTGGGAAAAGCCTCTACCTTGGAGATGCTACTCACTTCGGCTTCAGTCTTCTCCATCTGTCCCATGCCGGCAGCCGCGGAGGTGCCAGGAGGGCCGCTCCAGGGCGGCTGCTGGGACGGCCGTCCTGTGCCCTCCTGTGCGCCGGGGCCCTGCCCCGGGACGGGCGCGGCCTCCTGGGCCCCCTCCTGGGGGATCACGTCCTGCAGGCCCAGCAGGCTCAGGTGTCCCAGAATGACCTTCAGCAATTTGCGGAGCGCCTCTAAATTGACATTGACCTCGGGCGTCCCGATAGCGTCATCCAGCAGCTGTGAGAGGCTGACCGAAGCCATGGCTGCCGCCCTGCCCGAAAACACAGCGGCTGTCCTGTGCTCGGGAGGAAGCTGCAGCTAGGAATGTGGGCAGCCAGCAGCCTCCTTCCTCCTCTTCCTCTGCCTTCCTGAGCCCCGGCCGCACGTGCCTGTGTCTGTGGTGGCTCTGGTTGCCAGGTAACAGCTGGCCCTGGCAGCCGGTTGTCGCGGAATCGTGGAAGGGACCGCTTTGGAAGGGACTTTTTACACATCATCGAGTCCCATGTTTGCTGCTGTGGTGGGCCAGGGACCCCTGGCTGAAGGGGTCCTGCCCCATGTTCCTCATCCACCCGCCTTGGATTGGGGGAACACGTGGTTAGGAACCCCAAAATTCCCTTGCTCCCCTTGATCTTCATCCACATTTTCCATGCTGCCCTGGGGGGGACAGCATTTGGGGTACCCCAACCCCCTCTGTCCCCTCAAGTGTCGCCGCCCTCGGGCTGCCCCGGTACAGCACAGTTGAGGGCAGTGATAAGCTGCCATGGTGCTTTGAGCCATGGGGCTGAGCAGGGGTCATGCTGGAACTCAAGTGGCTTTGGTGGCAGGCCTGGACACCCACACACATGGATGTATGTCCTGAGTTAGGGAGCCCCCTAGGACAGTCTTAAAATCCTGGAAAGATGCAGGCAGCTGGATGTGGGGGCTGCAAAGAGAGCTGGTGTTGTCCACACCTGCTCCCCCTTTGGGCTCTCAGAGACAGAGGATAGGTGGCACCCCAAAACACAGAACCCCCAGGGTGCCCACCACAACCAGGAGGGTACATATATCTGGGAAGCTCCCCCAAAAGATCCAGATTTTAGTGTGCCCTCCCTGAGGGGACACAGATACCCAGAAGGCCTCTGGAGGGGACCCAGATGCAGCCCCCCTCCCCCCCGGACCATGATGGGATGCAGATGTCTGGGTGGGTCCCCACAGCCCACATAGAAGAAGACCTATGTGTCTGGGGTTCCTCCCAAGGCCAGAAGTGAAACACTGGCATCCAGGCTGTTTCCTCATAACCAGGAGAGGACCCAGTTATCACTGGGGGGTTCTGAAAGGAGGAAGTTGGGGCACACTGGATGGGGGCTTCCCAATCACCTTCTGCATGTTATAGTGGGTGCCCTTGGAGTTGCTGTCATCCTGAGGGGACTACCACTCCAGTAGCACCTTGAACTCCCAAATCTCCTTCACCTCCACTGCTCAGATATAGAGGGGGTCAGCCACTCTGTGGGGCAGCCTTTGCCCCATGACCCATAAGCCCCCAATATAGCTCCCAAAACCAGTCCATGGCCCACCAAACATCCACCATGGACCCCAAATACTCCCCCCAAAATGCCTGCCTTAGCACATCCAGGCCCTGAACCACTCCCCTAAGCACACTGCTCCTATTGCCCCCTGTGCCTCCCATCCCAGTATGGCCCAGTGGTCACAGTATGCTCATCCTAGTGCTGCCAGTACTCCTACACTAGGACTCCCAGTATAACCCATCTCAGTGCTACCAGTGCCCACTGACAAAATGCAATGAGAATGCCCTCCCAGGCTGCCAAGCAAGCATGCCCTACCATGCACAGCCAGCCCAGCTCCCCCACCCTAGTGCTTCCAATACATTCAGTCACAGAGCTACCACTAGTCCCTGTGCCACTGGTGACATGCGATGGGAAGGCAGCTGCGTTTAAGATCTGCTTTGACGTAATCAGGATTTACAGCTCAAATTTTAAATAAATCACCTCTCCTCTGGTGAGAAACCTGTGAGTGATTCTAACACCCTGGCCCTGACCTTAATACAGCAGGTGCCTTTGGGGGGAGTCATGGTCATGGAGCTGGGAACAGACCACCTCAGTGCACGGATGTCACCCATCCATGACTTTCAATGATATATCTCCGAGAGTATGAAGGTCCCTGACCTCACAGGATCCTCTACCAGTGCCCAGAGGTCCTTGTCCCCAGGAAGTGCCCATCTCCACTGGAGGTCTCCATCTAGGAGCAGCACCCTCAGATGGGGCTCAGGGTCCCCATGGGTCTGGAACAGGTCACATGGGTAACTAGGCACCCTGAAGACTTTGACCCAGTGAGGGGCAAGTGATGAAGAAGGGATTTGTGTAGTGGTGGCAGGATGAGGGCACAGATCCCATGGTGTCCCAGCACAGGAGTCCATTGGCTGCCTCCTCCCTGCTTATGCACCACTAGTCAGTTTCTGTTCGTATCAGGGAATGTTAAAGAACAAGTGACTTGCATGTGTCATGATGCTTTTTATGCAATTTTAGATCTTGTGGAGCTGATATAGCTGATCTGTGCCTGTTGACAGACCTGTGTATGTTTATGTGCAAGTGCTCTCTTTGTTCAGATAAAGAGTCAACTAAAAGTTCCCGAGTATTTCAGCAGGGATGAGTGTATGGGTAACCTGGTCCTCCAGGTTAAATTAAATTTAAGTCACAAACACTATTCAAACTGCAGAGTCCAATCCAGCCCTACAAGAACATAAAACATGGTGGAAAGGGCCAGAATCTGCACATGCCTTTCTAACAGAGATTCTCCACCACTTTCCAAATCTTCCAGACTACGGAAAAGAGGAGACATTGCTCAAGCAGAGTGTTTCCACATATATACAAGCTGCATACTTGCAATACTGTGTCAAGAAAAGCATCCTTTGACTTAAGAGGAACTTCAGCATATGGTTTGGACTCTTGGTTGTGAGTAGATGCCAAAACAGTATCATCAACACCTGCTCAGCTGAATCTGATACAGAGAAATAAGTTATAGGTAAACAGTACCCCTCAAAGTGTGTGTTCAATAATAGCATACTCTGAATACAGATAATTTGTAGTTAGAGGGGTTTCTTGCAATCTCAGCACTCTGCTCTTAAGCATCTATTTTATTGGAGGAAGAGCATAATTCTTGCCAAAACGACAGCTAAATCACTACAGACAATAACATAAATCCTGAATTCAATGGGGTCTGGTTTTCTTGTTATAGCTAAAAGAAACTCTTAAGGAGATGACAGTAGGCTAAAACAAGAGTGATGAGAGAAATTATTTTTTTATTTATAACACATTAGGAACACCGTTCACCATACATCATTAACAGGGTGACTACATAATAAGGTGATCATAAAAGGGTGACTTAAAAAGCGAGTTAAAGACAAGGCATAGATTATAGGCTAGTCATGGAAACTGGTAGGTTTTTTCCTCCCACAAGCAAAGCTGCACAAATAAAGACTGTCTCATACTATTTCTGCAAAGGTAAAAGATTGATTTACTCAATCTGTAAATTTTCTTTATATTGTATAAATTTACCAATACTTAGATTAACGTTTTCATATAGTTTATGATGTTAAATTTTAATACAGTCTTATGTCTCATTAATTTAAGGTGCAATTTATCAAAATCTACAGTAAATATTTTCTTCTTCATCAGTTCTCTTTGGCACACTTCTGGTTTGTTTAAATACAAAAGTGTAGGACTGAATCGAGTATATAGCACTGCAGGTACTTGGAGGGTTTTTTTGTTAGCATATGAATGTGGTTTTATGCTTGCCACAAGCTTATTCACAAAGAAATAACTGTATACGAATTTCAGTTTAATTTATATATAAAATGGCTAACTACTTCAGTGTGCAAGACAGAACAGAAAATTGTTACAGCAACTCCTCCCTTGAGAGAGTGATTTTTGCACCATGGAAATCTTGTATAAAATGTAATAGAAAATGGAGATTTTTAATGAGATAGTTCTTGGTGCTTCTTATCTTACAGCAAGCCACCTGAGGACATGATTTTCTAGGTCCAGAAATGGTTCATAAGATACAGTTTAGCTGACAGGTTGGCACTGTAGTGGTGTTGCAGCTATAAACTTGCATGTTCAACTGACAAACTAAACCAAGGAGCCAAAAAAACAACCAGTCTGTGTAAGAAGTTTAGTGAGAGCGGCTTCTTTCTATGAGAAAGGTCTCATTCCTATACTCTTGATATATGTATATATATATATATATACACACCTGCTTTTATTGCGAGGAAGAAACATTTAAAATTTGCACTCTGCACTTTCATCTTCATGACCTCTGCTTACTTTTGGGCTGACTAATATTTTGTTTAAATCAAAGGTGGAAACCAGAAAATTGACTTATTTCTGTTTCTGATGGAAATGTATGAGGAGGCCACCAAAGTTGACCTAAATAGATAAAGTATCATTTTACAAAAGCTCTTCAAATGCCAGAAGAGCAAGCTCAGAGCAATTTATTTCACGTCTCAAGGCCATGAAAGGCAGCTGGCATTCACATGAAAGGTAAGGGGAAACTTAGCTACATAAATACTGGACATCTTTCAGTGACTAATTATTTCACAATTGAAGAAAAACTAAACCCTATTCACAGTAAAATGTACTTATTACAAGGCCCTTCTGGTCTGTTTTATCCTGAATCACGCAAGTAGTATCCCCTCAGCTGCAGAAATTAGCATTTTGGCAAATGATCAAGTTACAGGAGTTGTCAAGTACCATGCAACCTGTTTAGAAGGCAAGAATTTCTTACAGGTGCTTTGTGATGTGGTAATGTGTGAAATTCTGTGCTACTCCTGAGTAAAACACATTTGGCTGTCACAGCTAATAATCCATTTATGAGCATGCTGATTCCAGAGAGGCATTTCACAGCCTCAGGAATAGTATATATTCTAAAAAAAAAAAAAAAAAAAGCGAGAAGTATTTTACAATGGTCTTTTTCTTCAACCTATCAGTAAGGACTAACAATGGTGAGTTCAAACTGTTGAGGGAGATAATGAGAAGGGGAAAAACTGGTAAGGAGAGTCAAAGTCTGTGTGGTAAATCAAATGTAAGTGAGATGTAATTAATTCTCAATTTTCTTTAAGCTTTTTGAGATATTGCATATGGACATGTCCCCTAGTGCTCCTGTTTTATCTGAAAGCTACTGGCTTTAGAACTGGGATGTCTGTGTGAAGGATATGGTGTCAGATTTATCTATTGCAAAGCCTCCATTGATGTAAGATTTCTTGGCCTGTGTTTCATCATTATCAAGTATTCCTGTTTCCAAGGCAAAAGGATTGACTATGTTGACCTCAGAGGTGACATCCATCTGCTCCAGCTCCTTTTTTGAGAGCTTCTCCACTACTCCTGTACCAAAGGCGTCTCCCAAGACGTTCACCATTGTTCTGAATC